CAAAAGAAATCAAACCAAAACAAAATTTAAGGAAACAAAGCTAAACAAAACCAAAGCAAAACAAAACAAGCCAAAGCAAAAACTTTTATCTGTCTCAGACTCAACTGATATTTCAAGGTTTGAGAAGCATGAAAATAGAGCAACTGTCAAAATGAAAACCTAAAACTTGACACTCACATTTTCTGTTATCTTGAGCAAAATACAGTGTAAAATCTCATTCAAGTGAGAATATTCAGCTGGTTCTGATCATGAAAACTTACTGTAATCCTGTTTAGGGAATTATTTTCTGGTATAAAAAAAACTCAGAGAAAAAAAATACAATGAAATTTCTGTAATAAATTTGCACTCCAAGGAATATATTAGTCCGTGTTAAATCATAGAATCACAGAACCACAGAATGGTTTGGGTTGGAAGGGACCTTAAAGAGCACCATGTTCCACCCCCTGCCATGGACAGGGACACCTTCCACTATCCCAGGCTGCTCCAGTCCTGTCCAACTTGGCTCCAAACATTCCCAAGGATGGGGCAGCCACAGCTTCTCTGGGAAACCTGTGCCAGATCCTCACCATCCTCACAGGAAAGAATTTCTCCCCAATATCTGATTTAAACAGACTCTCACTTTAAACACCCTCCTCCTTTTTCTACCACTACACTTCTGAATGAAAAAGGGAGATTTCATGTTGATTTTTTTTTTTTAATGTCATACTAAAGGAGAGGGTTGTAGAGGGAAATGCTTTCAAAGGCACTGCTCCTCTCAGATTTTGCTTGAAGCCAATAAGACAATCATGGGTGGAAGGGTAAACAACTGCATAATTCTTTTCAGGAGCAAGACTGTAGTGGCAAAACTAACAGCTTTGATGACAGGCTTCCCAGAGAGGCCAGGAGCTGGAAGAAACATGAGCTGCCCTCCTAACTTCAGGCTAAAGGGACATGAACATATTACCCATGAACTCAACTGAGCCCATGGCTGATTTCTCTGGGGTCAAAAAAATACATGCAGGAAAAACTTCTCCATGAAAGGTATGATATTCCTGCATGGCTAGAATTTCCAGAGGGGTCCTAACATCCACATTAAAAGTGGATCAAAAGCATTTTTCTAGGAAAAAAACTTATAGAAAGAATGTTTTACAGCTCAGACTTACAGCACATTATTCAAAGGAGCTTAGCTCCCCTTTGAATTTGTCAATGTAATTAATATTTTGCAGTGATTACCAGGTAAATGCTTTTGCATATTTTCTAAACAACCTTTCAGTAATGACACAGGTCCTAACTATTAAATATTTTATATAAAACTGCAATTTAACATTAGTATGGCATGAGCTTGAATACTTTTAATGTATTTTATAATGATGTAGATATTCTAATTAGATATTTATCTGTCACACATCTTTTAAATAGTAGGAATCGGGTGTTCATCTGAGGTAAAGTGGCAAGGTTTACCTAAAGTGAAAATATCAGCATTTTCAAACACCTGCTCCTACATGTTTCTGAAAATCCGATGGTAATTAATGATGTACAAGCATACATTTACTGATCTAATGACTTTGCTATTTGAAAACACTGAAATTAAAATGCTACCTTATAATTTAGTTATGTATTCCTTCTATCAAATGCCTACGGAATATATGGAATATAATGCATAGAATGCTTAAATATTTCTTACAGCAATGGCTGAAAAATCAGGGAATGGACACAGATAAATGTTCCAGGCCAGGTTGGATGGGACTTGGAGAAACCTGGACTAGTGAAAGGTATTCCTGCCCACGGCAGAGGGTTGGAATGAGATGATCTTTAAAGCCCTTTCCAATATAAACCATTTCATGATTCTGTGAATGTCTTAGCAATTCACTAGTGGGGGATGGTGGATGCCTTGCCACCACATATACATCAAGATAATTATTTACTCTGTTTTCCAAAGCAGTTTTTGCACAATTTCCCCCACGTTATGCAGAGAAAATTGAAAGTGTTTATTCTTTAGGCTGGTGAATATAACTAAAACTTGCTTTAAGGAGTACAGACAAAACAATTTCTTAGTACACTAAAGATCACAGGCACACATGAAGACTATAATTTCACTGAAGCCATCGTAAAATAAAAGTGTCATTTAAAAATAATAAACTCATTGTTTTTGTTTTCCAGCAGTATTTCTCTTAAATCACAATTTTAATTGCAGATTAGTTTTGTTCTTTTAGTCCTGTTGATAGATTTGAGGAAAGCAGCATACATCATTATCTGTACTGTGTAGGGATTCACATTTCAAACAACAGTTTTGTCTGGCCAAGCCACTACAGCCTGTCTGATTGTTGCAGAATTGTCATTAAATGGAAATGATGCCCGGGAATATTGAACTTAATGTTATGTCCTGAAATAACATGAATAACATTACAGTTGTTTTAATGAAATTCATAGGAGAAAAATGACATTAAACAAAGCAACAATATTAGCCCTGGTGCCCTGGTCAAATTCCAGCCTGGCTGATTGCATTCTGACACCCACTATTTTTCAGCTGTTTGAATTTGGTGTGCTTGTGTACCTCCCTGTTGTTCATTGATATGTTAATGCCCTGCATCACCAGCTCATAGCTGCCTGTCACTCCAGAGTTAGGTGGCTGTCACTCTCGACCATCCAAAGGCTTTTAATGAAGCTGTAACCTCAGAGCACGACCTTGAAAAGATCCCTTTCAATCTACTTTCCCAGAGCTCGTCCAGCTACTTAGATATTGCTTAACCTTACAAGTGAGCACAGATAAAACTCACTTCAGTGTTTGTTAAACATACAGCACAGCCTCATGTCCCAGTTCTGGAATAATGAAACACTGAAGAGCATTTAATATGTGCTTAAAGCTGGGCACAGAATTGTCCTTGCACACACTGGGGTTTCAGTTTATGTCAGGAAGGTACTCTGAGCAGAATCTGCTCATCACCCCCCACTTGACCATGACTTGCTTTGAACTGTGGAATGGAATCTGAAATGGATGAAATTTAGGCAAAGATACATTTTGGGAGCACAACTTATACACCTCAGCACCAACTAATTGTGCAGACAATAGCCATGGAGCAGAGATAGTAGAAATTTAAAAACAATATCCCAAAATACAGACTCTGTGAAATTTGCTTTTCTCTACAGCTGGTTCATGCTACTTGCTTATGAACACATAGTCATATTCAAAGGCTTTATTTAAACGAGCAGATACTCTTTGCACTACCTTACATTGCCAAATGTGTTGGCATTTGTAGAGGGCTTTTGGAGGAAAACATTCTGAAGGCCTAAATTCTGCTTCATTGAAAACTTTTAAAAATGTAGGACCACAATTTGGAATTTTCTTGTTCACATATTTAGGCAGGATCATCAGTGATGACTTCAGAGAACAGTTTTTAGTGTCTTAATCACATTTCACAGGCTTAATTTCAAATATTATGCCCAAGAGCCTCCCCATGGCCCTTGATCTAAAACGCTGTAGGTGAAATCCCATCCAGACATTCATGCACAGTAATTTTCCTGTTTGTGAGACCAGAGAAGATCACCAAGAAGCATGTAAAAAATATTTAAACCAAGCATAGATTTTTATATATGTTGCTAGTGATTAAAATATAAAAGTTGAACAAAAGGTAAGATCAGAAAGAGATAGTGCCAAAAATCAGTGAAAGAATGTCTTTGTACCAACTATGAAACAGAGCATTGTTGAAACTTCATCTAAGGGTAATTGTAGGTAATCAATTGTATCCTGCTTTGAGATCAAGTGAATGTCTAGTTCTCTCAGCAAAATAACTGAATCCACATCCTTCTCCAAACCCACATCCCTCCCTGGTGTATAAGCACATGGCACTCGTGTTTGAAGCCCCTGTTAAACTGCAGCTGGATTGTCACCATTAGGGTTTTGTCACAGCCTGATTTAGGGAGGAAGCCAACGGTGTGGAAAACAGATGTGAAGCTTTAAATGCACATAATCAGGTCTTTAAGACTAATTTCAGGCTCAATGCTGTCTTGGATTTTCTTCAGGTAGAATAAAGAAGACAACGAAATGGAGAGAAGAGTGACAGGATAAGTGGAAAAGAGTAGATAGGAATGTGTGAGCACAGATGCTAATGAACCAAAAAAATACCTCTTTATTTGAGTGTTGCATATGTCTGCACAGAAGTCAGATATTTGAAAGCAGTTCTAGTTGTAGATTTGGCATATTTTCTGTTCAGGATCAGGTCATAACCAAGCCATTCTAATGTGATCTCTCTGTGGCTCACCAGTACAAAGAGTAAGGAAGAAGTAGAGGGGGAGCAAAAGGAAAAGAGTGAGCAAAAACTATTAAAGACATTGAGAGAGCCACAGTCGTTGACCCTGTAGTAGAAAAAAATTTGTTGGTTTACGGGGGATGGCAGCTGAAATTTTGTATACAAATCAAAGTGAATTCAAGTCTTGCATGTCCCCATTTTACCTGAACACTCTGGTAATGTAGTCATTGGATCTTCAGGCAAATGCAGTCATGTGTACATATATGCACATATATACATTAAAAATATATATGTCTATGTATACATATATATGTATATATATATTAAAATATATATATCAAATAATATTTTTTTCATGCCTGAGGTTGAAAACTTTACTCAAATCTAATGTCTTGGCGAAAAAAGCAAACCTCTGTTTAATGGCTGGCAGCGTCAAAGAAACCCAAGGTTTTTTCCACAAAGATCCTGGTTGAAGCTCTATGTTGAATATATAGATTATATATGAATATATATATAAACCTTTTGACAACAGTAGTGAAAGTTTTTCAAGTAAACCCAGAAAGTTTAGATGTGACTTGACAAGGCTACTTCAAGTTCCACAACACAGGAATGAGAAGCCCCACGAAGACTTTAATTCATTACAAGTTTGTCACTCTTCGGTTGAACCTCTTCCTGTGCTACTCATTCTCCGTAGCACTGTACAACATGTGCTGCAGAAAAAAACCTGAGGCAGGCAAGGAAAACCAAGCCAAAACCAGCAGAGAAGTTGCTTACCTGTCTGAACTCCTCCAGGTCTATTTTGTTCCCCACCAGCACCACGGGGATGTCGTAGGTGTGCCGGACACGATAAATGAGCTCCTTGAACTCGGCTGCTTCTTGAAAGGACTGGCGGTCTGTGATGGAGTAGCAGATAATGAAGCCTTCTCCTCCTCGCATGTACTGGTCCCTCATGGCTGTGAATTCTGCCTGCAGAACAGGAAGAACCTGCTCAGTAATTTGGCAAACAAAATTATCCATCTGCAAATAACAGACTTGCAGAAAACTTCCCCGATTCCCTACACGAATTCACATTGCTTGCTTTACTGCTTGCTGAAATTTTTGCATTCTTCTTATTATCCCCAATATCTTAGGTCTTTTTTTTTTTCCCCATCAAGGGAGCTCTGTCCTCTAAGAATATGAACTTATTATGCAAGTGACTGCATACAGAAAATACTGTCTCATGTATTACCAGAGACTTCTTTGGTGCTGCCAGTAAAAACGGATGACTTGCAACTGAATTAATATTAACAGGTGCAAAGTAAACTATGTCACTACCTAGGAATTGAAGACTGGTACAAATTCCTTATTATGTACTCAATTCAAAAGCTCAGTAGTATCAAAAAGACATTAATTTGTTTCCACAGCTTTGGAAGAGTACCTAAAAACCAGGAATCTGATGTGCAAAAAGTTTTATTTTTTTCGAAATGTCTCAGAAAAGACGGAGGTTTCACTTCAGTGTGGGATAACATCATTAAATGAAAATGAACAATTTCAAACCATGCAAGAATTGGCCCCATTTTCTCCTCCTGTTTCTTTCTCATTTTATTTAAATCTTTATTGTCACAGCAATGCTTCTTGTTACTGGTATGTTTTTTTGTTGACTTTTTTTTTTTTTTCAGAAGTTTTTAATAACTGCCACATTGTACAAAAAACCCCAAGATTTCTTTTTCAAAAACTAGTCTCAGGCACTGTGGCTTGAGAATATGTTTTAAAGCCAGTTTCTTTCTCAAGTTTGTTTGCTTTTCTTGATCACAGCCCAGAATAACCCAATACCATGGCAACAGTCGGTCAGGATCAGAATCCTCCTGACAGAATCAGTTCTCCAGAGATATTAAGATGCAGGAAGGTCTGATAAAAAAGGAATACACATATCAACATTGGACCATTTCTGTGAGCAGCAGGATGCAGCATCAAATCCTGTATTTTTTACTCAATTGAGAATTTAGGCTAGGATTTTTTTTAAATAGTTTAGTTTACATATATATATATTCTCAGCCCTTGCTGAAAATTGAAGGGAAATGGATTTCTTATGCTCTTTTAGCAGTCTTAGCTTTAAATCTCTCTCAATAGTTGCTCATGTTGATTGACAATACTTCCTGTGAATAGACTTTCATGTTGACCATTATAATTTATTTATGATGTATCTTTTACCCAAGGGCTTTATATATCATTCAAAACATTTCACCTGCTGCAGGAAAAAGTTCATCCAACTAAGCTTCAAAATGGGAGACTAATAGGGAATTTAAGGGTAGGATTCTGCTTTGAGACTTGCTCAGAATTTGAAAATCTCTAAATTATCACCCCATAGCACCCCAGGAGAGTTTATTAACTACCAAGCTACAAGACAGAGTGGGTCAGGTCATAATGTAGCCCATCCTCTGGAAACTGGATGTGCAAAAAGTAGGGCAGCTGAACACTGAAGATATCAAACAGAAAGGATTCCACACTCTGTGGTTTAGACAAGACACTGGAGAGCTGTGTCTTTGCTGCCAGGTCTTTCCCAGCCATCTTAGATAGCTACTAGATTAATAAATGATGCAATTCAAAACTATAGATCACATTCAAAGTCTCCAAGTTGAGAGTAGGGAGTGTTAAATGCCTAAACATAGTGATTAAATCCATTATTCACCCTCAGACCCCAGGCTTTTACACCAGAACAAAGATCTCACTGCAACCCCCATCCCATGTGATCCTGATTTTCTCCTCTTTGCACCAGTCCCTTAGAACTGTTCTACACCTTTATTAGGAGGCTAGTCTCCTTTACAGAACTAGTCCAGGATTCCTTCAGGCTGAGTAGGCAATAGAAGCCTTCAGGGAACTTAAATTTATGGATTAGGCTTCTGAATTTAGCTGGCTGTGCAGCTGCACATTGTCCAAGCTATCTTTGTAAAAAGTGGCAAACAATTTAATGCTATTAGTGGACTACAGGCTGCTTCTAAAGCTGGAGAATAGTTATACCATTAGTTATCTAATTATCTATTTTTTGCACCTATTATTTATATTTAGAGAGTTTATGCAACTGAGTGGAGCTGATAGGTAAAAGTACGTGTTTTCACAAGGAACATTATGCCCAGCCCAGATGACCTGTCTCCTTGATTTAGAAAATTCATATATCAACTACTGTAACCACTGTATGACAGCTCTGCACAACCTTTGACAAAGAATGAGCTCTGTTTAAGTGAGGTGATCCACCTCTCGGAAGTGCTCAGAACTTTGTACACTCATTTATAGCCATTTATGGCAAACCAAGAAGGAATTAGGTCACATATCCCTGTTTAAGTTGCTCACAGTAAGTGATGTTCTGAAGCACGAGTATTCCCAGGATCACTCCCCAGGGATGCTTAATGGCTTTCCCTGACTGACAGGAGGGCCTGGGTTCCTAATTTCACACACTGAATCATTCCAAAGGGACAAAGTTCTCAGCTTTTAGGGCTGACACTTCTGAGTCAGAATAATCTACCTACACTTTCTGGTTCATGCTGGGGCATAGTTAAGACTTTTGGTTATAAACTCATAGGCGAGTTTACCTATGCAATTTTTTATTATGAGACCTTATTACTGCTGATAAATTAGACTAAACAGGCAAAATACTTTAGAGTCATGTTTGCAATGATCCATTTTCAGAGACATTAAGTATTCTGTGCAAACTGAATTGAGGACATAGGCTTGGTTTTCTGTTGTTAACTCAGCTAGTAATTTCCATTCCAATTTTTTGATGTTGACTTTCATTTCTCAGCTTTTTCCCCTTGGCATGATTGCTCAATATAAAGTCAAGGACTCTAAGGTCAAATATAAATAAGCCTTTTTATTTCAAAAAAAGTGTTTTGTTTCTTTTTCCTTTTCACCAGGAACCTCAATATAATAATATATACTAAAAGAAAGAATAAATTTAGTTACCAACAAATATACTAAAATCTTTGCAAGTCTGTATGCATGTTATATATGAAAGACAAGGACTGAGAAGAAATTACATCTCTTTGTTAAGTTTTAACTTCAAGTCTTACTCCAAATTCCACTTTTTTCATGTTTCTCTACAGTAAGCAGAGCTAAAACCCAAGTTGAATGTTCAGATGTAGATAGAGACAAAGTCTAAGGTTTTACAGATTTTTCAGTAGATTTATTTTTATATTTTGTCTGGTTCCCTTATAAAATAAGTTATGTATCTGACACACTAATATATTCTTTAATTGTTTTTTGCTGTAAAAAAGACCTCTTAAAAATCATTTGAGAATTGTACTGGATAAGAATTTCTACTCAATAAAGGTAAAATACAAAACATTCCCAAGTCAGTAAACACCAAGGGTAAAAGACAGAAGGAAATCACATCCCCTCAAAAGGAAATAAATTCTGAAAATTAAAGGGAAGATTTGTCATGCTTATAGCACTTTGCAGCTTCACATCAGTCTCGAGTACTCTCTTGTGTATTATGACTAAGACTTAACTGAAAAGTGTGGTAAAAACTCTTTTGAAACCAAATCATCATTCTTAGGAGATATGATACTTGAGACTAAGCATCAAGTTTGGATAGAAACAAAACAAAACTTTTCTAAAAGTTGAAAGAAAGCGTAATAACTTTTTCCTTTTCTTTTTCCAGTGTAATTGAATGCAGGAAAACAAACAAAAAGAAATCACTAATCCTCATAAGGCTGTATATTCCTATCTGTTGTTGAAGAAGGTTGACAAGAAAGCCTCTTGATGGTTAGGTTGCTCCTAGAGAGATGTCACATTTGCCTTTCTTCAGCGATCAAACATCTGACATGATTTTTCAAAGGTACCATAATGGCCTCGCAGTGATGTTGAGCAGCATCCTCAATAATCTGCCTGGATGTGTCTCATCCTCTGGTGCCAAACTGCCTACACCCAGCTCGATTCCCTTCTCCCTTCTACTCTCTCTCTTCCTCAAACCTTCCTGGGAGGCAGAGCTTGCCTCTGAGGGCTGGGAGAGAGGGAGCTGTGAGTGTATTTGTTCATTCCATGCTCCTCATGGACACTCCCTCCTTCCAGCCCCACATTGCTCCTGCTCTGTGTGGAATTGACAGCCTACCTGTAGAAACCTATCTCATTGCCTTTTAATCCCTCAAAATTCTAAATTCTAGCAACACTTAGTCTTTCATAGTCCAATCTATTAATACCAAAGGAATACTTCCATACCTACCTTTGCGAGAGTGTTCCTACTTCTGCATTTCTTCCTCCTGCATATTCTTGCTTTTTCTAGAAGCTTTTGAGAAAACAACTCAACAAAGAGAAAATGCTTATCCTCCGTTTTCTCTCTTTCATCTTGATATATACTCTCTTATCTCACATTTCATAATGCAAGAGAGAAAATGTTTCATAAAGAGCAATATTTTAATTCATTTTAAAATTCATACTGTTATCACAGATATATAAATAGAACTTGTATGTTGTTTTGCTTTCTTTTACATTAGATATCAGAATATTTTCCAAATAATATCACTATCTTAATGTCTCCAGAAGAGGAAACAAAGTAATTGGGCAGTAGAGTCACACTACACTTAGATATCTAGATCTTTATGAAAGATTGGTCTGTGTGTTGTTATCAAACATAACTCTGGCTCTCATGTTCATCTCAGGACAGCCTTGTCTTGCTGACTGAAAGAGCCTAGGATGATGTATAATAAAGTTCAACAAAGCCAGTTTGTTTGTTTATGTTACCAAAGTAATTCCTCCTGAACAATGCTGGAGAAGGAATGATGGGCTGAAAAAGCTTTTATGCAACTCAGAATAGAAGTTGTTTAGAAGCAGCATCTCCCACATCACCACTTTACACCAGCAGAGCTCTAAAGTGAAGCCATTTCTCCCAGATCCCCATGCTGGGCATAGCTAAGAGATGGCTTTGTAAGCCCCAAAAAGGATAAAAGGGAAAGAAGAGGAAAACACACACAGAAAAAACCCAAAAAACAAACAAA